GGAGGGGTGGTGGCGTGGGGGGAAAGCTTTTTGAACACAATGAAAGGAGGACTCCAAAGGACCTCGGCTTCTCAGAGCTCCAGGCGTGGGAGCCCTGGGAAGCACGGTCAATCCAACCCTAGTCTTAAAATAGAAAGCCCCCCAGAACTGCCAGGAATTGCAGACTGGTTGTTTGCAATCCAGGGACTAAGGACTCCTGTTCACCAAACAGTTAGGTAGGTACTTACCATTACTTATCCTAAAGCAGGATTATAGCTGAAAGAACTGAAACATACCCCCCCCACACACACCAAAAAAAAAAATTAAATTAAAAAGAAAAAAAAAAACACACACACTGATAATTCCTCTGTTGACAAAGGCCTTGAAGAATACTCAGAGGATAAACAAGTGTCAGGGAGTGGGAACACAATCACTTCCTTTCCTCTCCTGAGTGCACCTTGCCACATCCAGAGAGACCTGCTGGAAACCACACAGTCAGTCAGAAAAGCTTCTCCACATCCGAGACTGCCACACTAGCGCTCGTCAACTGGAGATGACTCACAGGAAGCTCACTTGAACTCGCCTGTCTTCTCCCCAGAAGAAAACATGCCACCTCCCCCAGAGCTCCCCTATTCCTGTGCACACCAGCGGGGACCACCGAGGACAGACCCCTGCCACATCCCAGGCAGGCCTTCCCTCGAGCTGGGAGGGCACCAGGCAGTGCCCAAGGAGGAAGTCTCTGTAAGGACACCTTCATTCCTTCCCCCTCTGTCTTCCCCAGAAGCGCAGGCAGCATTAGACACAAACCTATTTCTCCATCCTCAACAAGCCTGTTCCTACTGGAGAGACCAAACCGGGAGTGCTGGGCCCAGTCCTGGGCTCTCCAAGACGACATGGACTCAACTGGAGCAAGTCCAGCAAAGGGCCACAAAGATCATTAAGAGACTGGAGCATCAAAAATAGCAGAAGCGACTGAGACAGCTGGGAATGTTTCACCTGGAAAAGAGAAGGCTCAGGGGTATCTTATCCGTGTGCATAAATACCTGATGAGGGGAATAAAGATGACAGAGCCAGACCCTTCTCAGTGGTGTCTGCTGACCAGACAAGAGGCAACAGGCACAGAAAATTCCACTTAAAAATAAGACACCCCCCACCCCCACCCCAGGAGAGCGGTCAAACACTGGAACTGGCTGTCCAGAGAAGCTGTAGAGCCTCCATCCTTGGAGCCATGCCAAACCCAACCGGACAAGATCCTGAGCAAGCTCTAGTTGACCCTGCTCCATGCACAGGGGTTGGATTAGATGACTTCCAGACAGCACTTCCAACCTCAGCAATTCTGTGATCCCTTGTGCTTCAGTGTGCACTACTCCAGCCACGCCAGGCAGTTCTGCTGGAAGTTTCCTCCTCATGACCGGCCCCATGAAACTCCCATCCCTAGCAGGAAGGCAAGCTGCAATGCTCTCTGACAGTTTTCTGGCCTCACAGAGCTATCGGTGCTCTCTCCTTGGCTGCATGCATCCAAATGGGTACAAGCTGCCCTTCTTACCCACTGGCCGAGACAGCCCTGATGCATCAACATGGGTTCCGCAGAGCGGTCCTGCAAAACACATGAGCATTGGGGATCATTCAGGATGAGAGAAATCAACTCGGAGGACTCTTCACTTGAGCCAATCTGAAAGACCTAGGGACTCGAACATACCCACAGCCTCATCCCTGCACTTGTAAATACCTACCTCACGGCTTCGTGCAAGGCTCAGGACTTACAGGGACAAAATGCTGAGACGTTTATTTCAATTTAAGTAAGATAGTCAAACCTAATACACATGCGTTCTTTATCTTAATTAAAAGGTCTCTAGCTTGGGACAAAACAGTACCAGCTAGCTGAAGGTAAAAAGGCATAAACTAATTCACCAAAGTGCTCAGTTCTGATTCTGCAGCACAAGAATTCAGCACCCGTTTACAGAGTTCTTATCCTCTCAGTCAGATCAGAAAAGCCTAGCAAAACCAGAGGTTATTTAACCCAGATCAGCTCCCTGGCCTAGTTCACAGCACTGCCTCACAAAGAGTTGGGTCAGCACAATGGAGAAGCAGTGCAGGAATGGAAGCGAGCAGCTGGGAGTATTAACACCCAACAGCAGCATCAGTGCTCAACTTCATATCAAACTGTGGCCTGAGCTTACTGAAATTTGGAATTCAGCACGTCCAAAGCCTTAGACAGGAAGTCTCTATGTTCAATATTTTAATGTAAAGATAAACCAAAATGATCACATACAACTCTGAAGGCAACATCACTGCTAACTTCAGGAAGGTATGTACCAAACTGCAACTCAGTAGTAGGCTGTCCGCTCTTAAAAGCGTGCCTTCACATAACCAGTGTGTTATGCAACCTCCATGCTCTAATGTTCAAAAAAGTGAACGTAAAGGCACTGATGTAGGAAAACAACTAGCAGTAAGCTCCTTTTGCCTGCATATAAGATCCTTTTCAAATACCTACCCGGTTAAAGGACTTTGTTTTCCTCTAGGGAAGAAGCAAGGTTCACACAAATGCTGGCCATGCCACACCCATAGCAAGTTCACCGCATACATGACCTGGCAGAACGTCATGCTTTGCCAGGCAAAACAAGCACGCCTAGAAATTTACCCTCTTCTGCATCTTAGTTTTATTCCCCACTAGGATTTGCATGCATTCTAGAACTGCAGTATCAAGGGCCAGGGGGTTCACAACACTGTCACTGAATCTGTAGCTACTAGCACCATGGAACTCATTCATTTCCCATAATTATTTAAATGCACTAAGTGGCTTATGCACTAATCAACTGCTATATGAACTTACAGGACAGCTAATTATACAAAAAATCTGATCACATAACTCAGGGACTAGGGGATCATTCTCCTACAAATCAAACTGTTCATGTTATGGCATTCTGCTGCTATCTTTAAAGCATTATGTTAAGCACAGATTGCCAACACTACGCCCCTGGCAGCCAGCATCAGAAGCGACTGTACCACTGATACAGAGACAAAAAAAAACATTAAAGCACTGCCTTCCAAAAGTGTGGTCCAATTCTTATTTTAACTTTGACTGTGCATTTTGATAAACCAGCAGCATTAAAAAATGATCCCTATCCACAGTCTAGACTGCTGCTCAGGAGGAGAGCTGCACCAAGCGCACCACATCATGTTTTGTTGTGGATATGGCAACGCTTCCCCTAGGAGAACAGAGGTTTTCACTGATGCACTGACCCAACCGCAGCCTCCTTCGGTGGCAATTCTGAAAGCTAACTTTTAGGAACACTTTACTTACGTATGTACAGTCATCGCAGCTGAAGCCACAAAGCAGCATTTGCAGGTGCCCCAAAGCCCCACACTTGCACCAGGAGAGCAATAGCCTACATGCTATGCAAGCACTGACCCAAAGCAGCCCCAAGCTGTAAAGCTGTGTAATAAATGTCTTGCCACGACCTTTCAGTCTCTCCTTCCCACACACCCATCCTAAAATACTCAGGGCATTTTATGAAGTTGCATTTTCATTTTTAAGTAGAACGTTATAACGACCATACCCAGTTGATCCCTACATCTTGTCCCTTGAATAAAGTCCGATTGTCAGCAGTCAAGGTAAGACCTGAGAGTGATTTTATTCTAGGGCAGAGGGGGTGGCTGGCTTTTTAATACATTATGTATTATTTTTGTTTTCTGTGACTTGAAGCCATACTTATTTGTGAAAGAAAAATCAAATATTAGTCCCAGAAGAGTTATGAACACTGAAAGATTTCTAAAATATACTGTTAAGCATCTATTCCATGCATTTCATAAAGGAGCAGTAAAAATGATGCTCTTGGGAGGAGCTGCATAATGTGCATGTGGCTTTGACAGCTTTACGTAACACAGTTGCCCCAAGCATACACTAATGAATACCACGCTACATTTGGGGGGGGGGGGGGGGGGGGCAGCAGGCACAGGAAATATGCATTGAGAGAGAGCATTGAGCTAAATGCAAGTTTCATTCATCAAGGGATTGTACCTTACAGAACTATCAAACCATGACTGTATAAGAAAGGCTCTGGCATTGCATCGTGAACTGGTGCTCCTCAGAGTGCCACTCACAGCTGCGCGTAGTGTTTCTTGTGGTATTCCCTACCCACTCTGACCCACTCAAATTCTCCAGGAGGAAGCCAGTTCATCCCACTTCCCAGCAGAAGTAGAAGTTCATTTCTACCAACCCTCTGCAAATACAATTTATAGTCATTACCAGGGCTTTAAAAAGATTGGCTTAATGCTGCGCAACCAGAAGAGAAGACACTTGGGGCACACAGTACTGTTGAAAACCCTCTGCAGCTCAGGGGAACTATCACTTGTTTTTAATTGCGTATGAAATAGCATCTCCTAAGATTTCTGCACAGTTAAGCAAGCACAGAAGAGTTGATTTATAACCAAGTTTTAAAAAGGATCCAGCTCCATGTTTGCATTCTAGCACGCACTCTACCTGACTGGTTGTTCCTCATGCGGATAGCTTTGGCTTTGGCCAGCTCCAGGGCCGTGACCCATCGTTGCCTCTCCACTTCCGAGTTTGCCTTTAAGTGGTATGTCCTTCCCCCATTGGAAAGCACAATGTTACAAGAGTCCTCCGTATCGATATGAGCCGTTGACAGGTTGATGGTTCCGCGACACGTGTGGGCCATTTCAGCCTGTGTCCTGCACAGGAACAGAGGAAAAGGAAGCATAAATCCCTCTGGATTCACTCTGCCCCCACATCTTCCCTTCTGCTCCTGAACACCCATTGCTCGCTGCTGCGGGTACACCCTCTGAGGTAGCGAGGGTCTACAGTAAAACACTCTGAGAACGCAATAAGCACACTTAAGCCAAGAAAGCTAGAAAAGCTTCTCAAACAGAAAAACAAGGAACAGGCTAAAGCGTTTGGATTGAGCTGTGTGGCTTGTTGCCTTGCATCAACTCCTGTATTACCCTCAACCCTTACACTGGTGGGTTTCATACGCAGCTGCTGAGCTCTGGTGTTGCCCCAAAAATAAAACTACTCCACTGTACATCACCGGCATTTCTTGTCTCATTTGCATTGCTGCTTTTCTCCCTCTCCCTGCTATTCCACTTCTAGTAGCTAGCATTGCGTAGCTCGTTATATCTGCTCTTTTCAATCATGGTCTTTTGTCTAACAGTTCGATTAGAACCTGCATGCAGAGATCACCGTTTGTAAAGCAAACGAGCATGGCATAATTCCTCTGCTGCCATTAAAACACCTTGACTACCGACAGCGTTGCTGCCTACTTCAGTAGGTTTACTTAGATCAGTGACGAGAGCAGGATGTTTTTCTGGGGCTAAGCTCCCAAGGAATCACTCATTTCACCCCAAAGTAATTCAGCTCAGCACACCAAAGAGAAATGGGCATGCTGGCACTACTGCATATAACTCTTAGCGACCAGTTTACAAAGCAGCAGCTACAAAGCCTCCCATTCAGTACAAACCTTTCACGACATCGTTATTCGGGGATCAGGCTCTTTGCTCAATCTGCCCTGCAGCAGACTTGATCCACAGCCACCCCACTGCTTACAGCAGCATCCCAAGACTTGATGCTAAGAGGCCAAAGTCAACAAAACCTTGATAAAAATACGACAGGCATCCCTCTCCCATACGCCAGTTCTCCTAGTCCAAAAGAGAAACAAAGGTACAAATGCAGCAGACTGATTCAAAGCAACCATCCTTCAATCATCAGCGGTAACTGCAACTCTCCCTTTCAAAAAGGCGTATTTCTGTCTTTGAACGTTCTTAGGGCTTTTAGCTTTATCAAAACTAAAATGATTACTTGTCTTCATTATTAATTTTCCTTTTTTCCTTTGCTTCTCCTTCGCAAGAGGGCCCAAGTCCCACGAGACTAGCAGGTCCCACACTGACTGCCAGCAAAGGCTTCAGCAGGTATCACACCAGTTGGAAGCTGGCTTCTCGCCCAAGTAGAGATGCTTTATCTTTTCAGAGCACAAAAGCTGTGGAACAGTCGCATACAAATTGATAGCCACTTCCTAAAATACAACTTAACATAATGTTTTCAGAAGCACGTAAAAAAAAAACATTTTTTTTTTAAATGATGAGTTCCAGCAACTAGATTTTAAGGCACTTGGGCACAAAGATAAATACTGCCACACCCACTGTTGCATTTACAGAAGCCTAAAATAGCTCTACAAACATTCAGAGAGTCCTGAATGCTTGCCACCACCCGAGCAGATGTACTCAAACCAGCCAGCTCAGACGCTATCAGCAGCACGGCGATGTTGGCAACACCCCGCAAGAGCCACCCGCGCCACGGCACACGAGGGGCCTTCGCTGAGCTCCCTGCTCCTCGACTCCAACCCCCTTCCACGCGTGCCCCATATTCCTCGCTTTTTATCCCCCTTGACCACTTCCTGCTGTCCAACACCATCTCTCCCTCTTGGTTGCTTACTCCATGCCAGAAAGGAGGAGTACGTTAGTGGTTGTGACACCCCTGGGTCTGCAAGTGTTTCCTGGCTGCCTCCAAACTTACTTTTGTCCCATGCACGTAACACTACAAGCACTTCAAACCACAGACTACTTACTACCTCGCGTTTATACAGCACGTTGCAAAATAGGGTCTTTCCAGGCTGGAATTTACTACAGTCGTCTTTATTAAAGACAACTGAAGCAGGACAGACGTTATTAACATTCTGAAAATTCAGTTCCTCCGCTCTTCTCCCTGCTACTGCTAGCTATCACTTCTTATAGCATAGTTTAATCTTGTCAAGCACGTTCATCATTTTCACTCACATAATAAGTAGTCAGGGTCCCAGAAGAGTTTTTAAACCCAATTTAAAACCCTAAATCACCCAAAGTCCACGCGATTATGCTGGGGAAAAGAAAGACGGATCAGAGCAATGCTGTCATTGGGACCAGAGGCCTTACGTAGTTTTGCACGCTTCTTGTCTGAATCATTCCCAGGGTCTTCATTTCAGGATCTTTTCCCTGACATTAAAACATGCTGGAACTGGGTCGATTTCAGACAACAGTTAGAAGGATTTTGCTAGCATTTCACCAAAATGCATTGCTAAGCAGTTGCTCATGGAACTGAAGTATCATAGGAATTTGCAGAAATTTCTTTCAATTCCTAACAGCTCCCTCATTTTCCTCCCCCCCCCCCAAACATAGCAACATAGTCCTCACTAAGGAACGTCCCCAATGACAAAAGTTTGTCATTCTTCACTTCAGCTCTTGTGGATAGAGGCATTAGATAATGCCATAATTCAAGGAAGTATTTTCAACAGTTTAAAACATGCAGCAATAAGAGGCTACCAAGAAGCATCACGAGACTTCCGCCGAAGGACTCACTACTCTGGGAAGATGCACTACCTGCACATCACCCAGCATACTTTAGATGAACATGCACACAAGAACAAGTCAGACAACAACACATAAAACCACTAGGTTTAGCAGCAGGACAGGTGAAAGCCTCATTACACAACTGCTTAGCTCCAGCATTTTGCAAGAGGTTTGCATCAGCCACTGATCTATCAGCTTCTGTGAGCGAGGAGAGCCTGCTTCACTCAGGGTGGCAAAGCAACTCGGAGCAAAAGGGCTATCAAAGAGCATGGCGCGTGTGCTCCTCAGGCACCCAAGTGCTTTTTCAAAGAAGCAGTTATTCTTTTCTCTACCACTAATAATAATACCACTCCGTTACAACGGCAGCCTGTACCAAACAGCCGCCCATCATCCTGCTGCATAGCTCCTCACCGCCTCTCAACTCTCACAGTAAGCTGCATTTTCCTCAGTTCACCAATGCGACACCTCGCTAAATGCATTAAAGTCCAGATGTGATAGTTGGCCACAACTTCTAAAACTTAAGAAGTTCAGAACTGCAAAGACTTATCTGCTCAGCTCTGACACCACTTCGGAGAACAGATTCAACCTAGCATCACATCCAAGCTCAATGTGCAGACACGGTATCCAGGGACCACGTAGAAAAGTAAAGCTCCGAGTAGCTAAGAGGTATCAGGAGAGGTCAGCTCTGGCAGCACCACAGGTTAAGTTCAAACCCGGTGAGCACAGTGCGGTTGCATTTGTTTGTGGAAGGGGTGAATTTTGCTCCAAATGAAATCAAGCACTGGTTTTCATCTCAGAAGTCATCCTCCTTATGATTCAGCACACACTGACATTTTCTCAGGAGGGAATACTTTTCACTTTGAGAAAACTGCTAAAACGTTTTCCTCTTATACAGAAAACAAAGGTCTCCAAGGTGACTGCGTTAAACTGATTTAAATCACATAAAACAGCCTTGCTCTTCCACCCAAGAAAACTGTTTCTGCACAAGATATTGTTCTTTAAGCTACCTTTGAGTGAAAATTTGCATGGGAAAAATCAATTCCTATCAATCACCACCCACAAGGCAAGCACCTGACCAAGCTCTGAGCCAACAACCAAGCAATTTTCTCTGTCCTCATGCAGAAAAATAAGAGGTGCCCTTCAGAAGCACTCGTGTTTAAATGAATCTGCTTATTCATTGCTAGCAGCTCAACTATTGCATAACATGATCCAGGCAGATTTCCTGGTTCTTGACTTTCTGCAATAATCTGAGCGCTACGCATATGGGAGACCACGTGGGCAGGCCACAAAAAGCTGAACTGAGGTTAAACATGGACATAGACCACATGCAGAGGTGGACACTGCTGAATATCTGGGATTTTTTTGCTGCTCCTTCAAACAAAGCTAATTCACAGGATCCACCTTCAGAGGTTCACAGTTAAAAATCATGCATGGTACCTAGGGGTACCCAGAAGATGACTGCCATATATATATATTTTATATATATATATAGTGCTTGTCAACATGCACAGTGAAAGAGGCTATGTTGCTCCTGTTGATCGGATTGCAATCACAGCAATAAGGCTACCAGAGCGAGAGAACTGGCTCCCCGCTCGTCCCCCCTTGTGCTCCTGACATGCTCCTCCGGCTTCAGCCTGGGATGGTGTTAAGCTACACCTGCACAGAATCTGCCTCTGGTGAGCAAGACGTGGCTTTCTCCTCCCAGACCCCCAACGCAACTGCAGGGTTTTTGAACACGTCTCACACAGGCCTGTGAGCAAGCCAGAGGCTCACTGAAGCAGCTTAGACCCAGTTTAGCTAACTCACCAAGCAAAACTACCTCCAAGAACACAGATTAGCCAATCCAGTGTATATGCAGTGAGACATTTAAAAGATTTTCTCTCCCCTCAATGCTAACAATTTTATAGCAATTATTAGCTATAAGTGCTAAAAGAGTGGGAAAGAGCACTGCTGTATAATGGTATGGGAATATTTGCTCTGATTTGTTCAAGCACAGGTGGTTAAAAGCGGGGAGAGTTGGACTAAAATGACGATAGAGCAAGGGGATCCTCAAACGAAGGCAACACCAAAGCATGCGCATGTCTGTCTACTTCACCTCCCCTAGTGAAAAAGGGCTACGCACTAACCCAACTGAGACTTGCTTGGAGCAAAGTCAATTCACTGCTTTACAGGCAAGAGGCATACAAGACTTGGGGCAACTCCACACAAACCTTGAGCAAGTAGCAGTTACCTAGGAACAGGCTGCAGAGCCCTCCCAGGGGATAGCACAACTCAAGTTCACGGCCCTGAAGAAAAAAAAAAAAAAAACTTAACTATGGAGTCAATTGCGATAACTTATTCCCAAAGGCTTATCA